GATTCTACTGGAATTCTTCACACACGTAACCTTTTTGTAATCTAGGTGTAACCTAGCCTTATCTGAGCATTGTTGGGAAGTTGTAGTTTGACTTCTTACGAAGAATCTTCTATTAACAGCAGGAAAACAGGAAAGGGTAGGAAATTAAGAAGCGAATGGAAATTAGGAGGTGAATAGTTGATAATTATAATTGCTGTGGAAGTAGGATACGACATTTAACATTGTGCCTGTTTTGAAATCTCTCTTGATCAGCTTGAACTGTTACCCATTAGTATAAATCTACCATGTTTATGAGCTAACCCAACACTACATGTATTTGTAGTTTGAATAATTTTCATGGAAAGCAACCAAAGTGATCTGCGAGCTGTGAACTTAGTCGTTTAGTCTTTTTCTTCAAGCAACATTGAAAACTCACCTTCAACCACGTTGCGGTAAGGGTCCTGAGACAGCTCGTTCAACAAATACTCTCATGTTGTTTCCTTCATTAGCTGAATCCCATTGTGCAGAGGGTTTTGTGGCGAAGGAAAACGCTTAACACTCCTGTAACTGTAGTACACTGGGTACAAATATCTCGTCCCATTCAATTATATCTATAAATAAACGCTCTATTTTCGTTAGCGGGTGATATGTGACCAGATTGTTTAGATAGCTGCAGAATTTTTTTTATGAGCGTCACTGCCTCATCTCCTTGTACAGAGTAAGATCACATTCGGCTTCCCTATCGATTCCGATTGACTCTAATGCTCGATGTAGCACAAAGGGCCTTAACCAAAGTATAGAAGTTACTTATGGAATGTAATTTGGAATAACTTCGAGTAGCAGCAAATAGAATCGAAGAAATAGTGTTTTGAGGTTCATATGACTGACAGCACTCGAACTAAACCAATTAATTATTACCGAGCTACCAGCTGTTGGAATTAAGCCACAAAATCTGCAAAAATAAAGGAAGGCCTCCACAATACCAATACTATTCTCAAAATGTTCTTTAATTACTTCTGTACTGATTTATTCAGCTCTTGACGATCGTCGTGCTGATTCTACTGGACCCGACCTATGTGACAGCATATATCTCAGTAAACTATGAGATCGTACTTATCTACATCGTCTCTGCCCTTACACTTCTCTACTGTATTGTCTCCGTCATCATGTACTTCTTACTGGCCAAACGAGGAGAAGAAACTCCACTCACCAACTGCTCACTTTCGGTTAGTGCCAATCTATGTGGTATTTTTTCGAAATTTTTAGATTTTTTTTACAATTCGTTCCTTCGCAGTGGCACTTCGGCCGATGCCTTTTTACCTTTTCATTTTTTAGTAGTAGAGAAGGAACATACTCAAGTGGTGAACATTTTGAAGTCGAAGTGTAACGGTCGGATTACTGTTGAGATGTGTATTCCAGGAAGTCATCTTCTCCACAGCCGGTATTATGGGATGGCTGATCATCATTGGTATTGGTGGCACCATCTCTCAACGTACCATCATTGAAACAGGAGAGCGTTTCGGATGGATTGGAGTGAGTTCTTCCCACTTCTCTTCTTAGATTGCTTGTTAGCAGAACCCTTACCTGTATTTGACGTCAAATTCATTGGGTTCATAAGAATCGTTGAAACTTTAAACTCACTTAGGGAATGAATAACGTTTCTTTTCGACATGTCCTGCCTTTTATTCCTCGGCGTATCTTTTTTGGAAATTGGGACTGAGGTTTGAATCCCGCATCAATACCGTGGAGGTACAATGGCAAAATGCTAGTTGATCGTGGTTAACTTTCCACAAAATTTGACTTGCAGCTCATGCGCAAGCTGTTTGGGAAGGGCTCAGTGTGAGTCAGGGTGCGTAAGCCTTTTTAACACCTACTCTGCATGGTTCTTACATATATGAAATAAACATTGAAGAGTACATTGAAGAACTGAAAGTACACTCTTACGTAGAGTTTACATTCCGATTTGAGTGCTCGCGGCTTCTATCAACAAGTTCGTGTGGACATAACTCTTTGTGACTTGAAGTCCTTTTCGAATATGTTAAGACCCACAACGAATTGTGCTAGGAATGCTGTGGTCAGGACACTCTTTACAAGCAGTAACAGTAATTCTGGCAAAAGTAGTTCACGTAAAAACCTTCAAGGCGCCCAGTTTTGCCTAATGCCTTCCCTTCGCAGGGAGTTCTCCTCCTAAGGCATTTATTCGTCAAACTTTAGCTACTTCAGGAAGGAAGGGCGGTATGGAACGGCAGGTGGTTGTGCTCTATACGTCTTGAGCTCTAACTATTCATTGTGTGTCTTCAAATTGGTCCACCCATCAGAGTAGTCGTTGCCTGGGAAACATTCTAGATGAAGGCTCTTAGTGGAACAGCTCTTTTTCGACTTTTAATCGCTTTCTGTTGGAATGGCTTTGAAGAGCTCCTCATTAGGCAGTAAAGATCATTGCGTATAGGCCATTCAAACCAGCTCTTAGGCTTAGGGTTAATTTCCAGGCAAAACTGATGACTTTACCGCCCAACCGTACGTAACTTTATTTGTACATTTTTACAATAATCTTCGTTCAGGCGCTTGCTGGAATTAACACCGGATGTTTCCTCGGAATCGCTGCATTGTTCACAATGAATCTGATCAACGACAAAATCCTGGCCACTGGACGATTGAGGAAGTACGAAAAGGGCTATCCTCAGTAAAACAGGCCACCAAGCATTTTACTCTCTCAAAACATTTTAATGTACGCATTTGATATTGGTCTTTCCCCGTTCTCATTTCTGATTTCCCATTATCAGTGATTGAAGTCGAGTTGGATCAGTGCCAAACCCTTGGTTCGACCGTATTCTTCACTCCAGGGTGCTTTTTGTATAAGACTTCACCTACTTACGCTTTGCTGCCTATTTNTCAATTCACCATTTATTTACTCGCCTTCAATTTGATTAGTCCACAATGATGTGATAAACAAATGTAATGTGATGACAAGAAAGATAATTCGAATGAACAATTATTACTCTTTTTTCTTACTCGGAAGGCTAAAAGGCTCTATGCGACTGATACCGCAGAAGAAAAGCTCAAGAAAGCAAATACTTAAGTGAAGCCTCTCGATGCCCACCGGCTTCAGGTTGAGCCGTCCTTCAACAGCGAATCCACGTAGTTATAGCTGTAGTTACAAAGAATTATGAAAAGAATTACATGGTTATCGATTGTAAGGTCGACTATATGCTTATCGGCCGCAAGTATGTGAGTCGAATGACTTGGACATGGTCCCTCTTCGACTAACGGTTTTCTTACGGTGCGGCGCGTTCCAATGGTTGCTCTACTTTACTAGCCCAGCATCACCTCTTGGAAAGCTAAGTTTGAGGCGAAGACTTGTTGTCATTGATGCGGTTCTTATTTGGGGCCCATTGGCTGCCTTTCTGGACCACTCTGTACGTTATGTCGTAGAAGTTGGTCTTCACAATGATCTCTGTAATGATTGGGATGTGAAAAGAACCCAGAACTGCATTTTGACTACACTATGTTTCGTCTTCATTAACCAAGGTGAGAAGCTTCTGAAAAATTCCTGGGGTCAAAAATGAGGCGTTTTGTGGCCACGTACACTATTTGTAAGTAGCATACAAAAATGGTGGCCACTTCGTCTGTGAAACAGGAAGCATATTTAGTTCCTGGTACTGTCCCCTGCTATTGCAGTACGTAATTCAGTAATTCTTGAAATGGATTTAGTCCAGCGATCGTAAAACTCATTTTATGACGCCATTATAACAGTTAACTTGTGAATATCAGAAAAAGGATCTTCAATCAAACAGCGATGGCGATATCAGAGGTTTCTACATATCCACTTTCTTTTTACCATATGAACGAGTTCATGAGTCATCTGTGACCTTCAGTTCAGTAGAATAAGAAAACGAGCTGTAAGCACGAGAACTAAATAAGAAAAATGTATCTCTTTAGATTTGAAGAAAATTCCCTTCTTCTTCTGACTGTAAAGGATGATCCAGCCGATCTAATCCCACAAAAAGCCTTTGAAAAGGGACATGAAGAGGCTTTACTTTTTTGAACTTCGAAAAGAAGCGGGCAGCTTTTCCTATTGGGACCCCATAATAACACAGGATTGGTTTCTCGTGATCGTCTCGGAAAAATGATGACCGTTCATAAAATTTTGAAAGTGGGTGGTTGCTCCACCAGTCAATCTTTTTTGCAGAAAGAGACCTTACGCCCCTCAATAATAATCTCCTTAAAAGCAATTGACCGTGACCAGCTTTCCTACTTTCGTAAAGTGAGGTCAAAGCTGAATACTGGTTATGGGTGAGGATTTATGGTGGCATATACCGAGCGCTGAAAAGAGTTCTAGAACCAATAGTTGAGAGAGCGGAGTTCTGCAATGGTGGGATCAGACTGGGTCCGATTTACCAAAGCATTGGTCCTTTCAGAATTAGCCTGCCATATCAAGGTTCCATGGAAGAAATCTTTTAACTAATTGCATCGAGTCCACTGAGGAGCTTCTGGCTCATCAACTGATCAGAGTTGAAAACTCTCCTTCCGGTTTCTCAAAGAATGTTCAGGAAACTAATCATTTCATGTCGGTTCATATTTTCAATTTTCAAGGGCAAAGAGCAGTTTCCAGGGCAACTTTTTAGAACGAATGGCTCAGAATATTGTTCATTTCGTGATCTGGTTATTCCACATCTCGGGTCTCTTTGAGGAGACGAGCTACAGCTGATTGAGTTATTAATGACGTTAATAACGCTCCATCGTAGGTTGTTGTCCCACGGGAAGCTTTGCAAGCCAATTTTGCATTACCCAATCGCACGAGAAAACATATGTAGTGATTAAGTCGGTCATCGTGTACTGAACCCCAGAAGTTCGCCAAAGGACTGGACTTTCCAGCCAGATTTTCCTGGATTGCACCACGAACGTTTCAGCCTAAGCCAAACTATGCCAAAATGGCGAGTTTGAATAATTTTCTATTAGATCAACATCCGTGAATTTATAAATTCACGTGATTATTTGGGAAGGCCATATACGTGGCTTACTCCACGAGCACTGATCGACACCGACACCGATAGCCTCATGTACATCATGGTAATGTTAGGCGGTCTTTGTTGATGGTTTCTCCCCTCCATTTATGGTGATGGTAGTGGTCAATGCTTCAGCTTTCTAGTTCAACTGTCTGTACCCCCATTGTTCCTATTTGCCTTTACTTACTTGCTTTATCAAAATCAGCATTTAAAACTTAGACCCGAACTGTTCGGGTATTTTCAAAAAACACCGTTGCCGAACCAACATCAGCGAAACTTCTAACTCTCAGTGTAGAGGTGGTATTCGAACGATAGGTTTACCCGCGGAGTGAAACTAAAGGCTAAAATCTCTATCAAGACCTCCCAAACAACTATCTCATCGATTTGAACCTAACAAATGTTGTTCTTAGGGATTTTATCATGGGTTCTGTCAGTCAGTGCCGATTCAGACGACTGCACAGAAGACAACGACAACAGACACGTTTATGTCCTATAGTATGACAGAAATAATGTAAGTACAGAATTAAAGAACTGTATGGAGATGACGACGTTC